TTTTTTTTTTAACATCTCACATACTTATCCTGAGTAGTCTTTTTAGACCCTGCAGTATTGGCCAATAATTTATTCTTCAAATGCTGTGGTCTGTGTTATGTCCAGTCAAGGGACAGCTAATGAGCCTGTCCTGGACTGAACACATTGGATGAGGCATTTAGAATGAAAGTAAAACTGACAGGTTGTCACAGATAGGGAGTTACCCTAGGGTTTGCCAGAAATACAAATGCAGCAGCCCCACCCTCAGGCAGCTCCACACACACCATTCTGACAAAACAAAAAGTCAGTTTTTCCATTAAAATGTACAAAATTCGGCCTCAAACTCAAATTTATAGGCCAGGTTAAACAGAAGTCACTTGATTGTACCTGCCAGAATCAGATCTCTATTACCTAGACAAATTTTGATTGTCAAGACTTGATTAATTTGAATTCTCACTAACCAGAGTGGGATGTGAATGAGGAATTCTTCCTAATTCACCATTTGGTCTTTCCACCACTTTTGCCTTTTAGATGTGAAGAATACCAGGATTTCTTGTTGGATTACAACATTCTTTCTTCCCCTCTAACTGTTGGAATGGGAAAGAGGGTCTTTTTTTCCCAACTTACATTTTTCTGCCTTATTTCACTCCACCACTTTTGCCTTTTAGATATGAAGAATACCAGGATTTGTGGTTGGATTACAACATTCTTTCTCCCCCCCATAACTGTTGGAATGGGAAAGAGGGTCTTTTTTTCCCAACTTACATTTTTCTGCCTTATTTCATGGGAATGGCTCTTGATCTTCCTGTGTATAAAAACATGCTTTTGGTGTGTCTGTTAGCTAAGTGCATTTCACAAAGTTGTCATGACCTGTTTTAGGCTGCTGGCCAGGCTTTGGTGACTGTATTTGGCACAGGAAAGCTTGTGAGCTTCTCAGGTATGAGAATAAATCTGAATAAATCCAACATGCAGCCTTACCAGCCATGCAGGAGAAAGTCTTGAGCAACCTCATCTGAAATGCAGTGTTGACCCTGCTTTGAGCAGGAGCTTGGGTTGGATGACCTGCTGGTCTGAGTTTTGGCAGAATTTACTGTTCCATTTGGTGGATTCAAACTTGTTGATAAAACCTTCTCAAAATTCAGTGGCTTGCATATTCGTTGTCCATGGAAAGTTTCCTTCTTTTCACGGCATGTGACTGGAGAGCTTCTCAAGCCTTTTAGGACATGACTGTCTGAGAACTGCAGTGTTTTGGAAATGACCTGGGCTGGATGACCTACTGAGTCTTTTCCAGCCATAATTTCTACAACTCTGTAATTTTGAGGTTGACTTCTTGTTGCCCAATTTTACAGTTACTTAATTCCAGTATCGGGCATATTTCAAGAGACCACATTTAGTCATGGTAAGACTGTGTGGGTTGTTTTGTCTTTTTCTGTTATTTTTCAAATCCTGAGGATTGTCAGCACTTAATGTATTCTTTCCTATTCCGGTGCCACAAATAATGTTCCTGCCCTGTGAGGAAAGAAAAGTCTGATTCCCCATTTTGGAATAGATGGTTGATTTAAAGAACTTACTCCCAGATTTGTTGCAGTTCTAAGGAGAGGTGTTAGGCTACTTCTGTTATTCATTTGTACCAGAAATGCATTTCCATCATGAGAATAAGGGATAGAATTGAGAAATTTTGTATTTGGTCAGATTTTCAGCATTGTTATCAGTTAAATTTATAATGAATTATTAATACATTTTTAGAGCTAAATGCACATGTACTTTGAGGATTGTGAATGTCTCCTGTTTCTTTTTCTAAACATTATCTATTACATTGATGTGGCCCCTTTCCCTGCACAAGGCTCCCTTTTTATGCAAGAAGAGATCATAGTTTGGGAAATGCATTGCCTAATAAGAACTCTTGCACCAACACTCTCTGAAGAGAACCTTAGCCTTTGAGTTTTTGAAGTGCCTTATATCAGCACTCCTCAGGATTTATTCCGTGCTTTCTATCCTAATCTGCTGCCTGCATATTTATGACACACGTCAGCCTTTGAGTTTTTGAAGTGCCTTTTTGAGTTTTTGAAGTGCCTTGTATCAGCACTCCTCAGGATTTATTCCATGCTTTCTGTCCTAATCTGCTGCCTGCATATTTATGACACACGTCAAGTTTCTGGTATTTTTAGATTTTTTTATTTTTTTTTTTGTCCACAGCAATTAAAGCATGGAAACAAATCAGGATTTCATTTTGAAACAAAGGTGCTTATATATGTATGAATATATGTTATAGACACCCAAACAGCAAACAGACCTAGAATTCTCTCACCTGGGACAGAATCACTTGGCCTGGAATTCCTGTGGGGTTTCTGAAGAGCTGGAAATTGGAGGATTAGCATCTAGGTGTGAAAACACCATTGGTGCTACAGAGACTTGTTTGGGGTTTGTTTATCTTTTATTCCATTGGAGTGATATGTGGAATAATTCATAAATTAATCATGCTGTTACAGCCACAAAATGTCTGTGTTTAATATTTGTGGGATAAAGGTAATCTTAGGTCAGAATAGCCCTGGGATTGTTACCAGGCTTAAGAAACTGTATATGAAATGCAGTAAAAAAGATGATGGATTCAATAACAGGTTGCTCTCCAGTTTTTCTTCTGCCCTACATTCTTTTTCTCTATCAAAAGTTCTGTTTTATTTATGCATAGTTTCTTATAAATGTTCTTGAAGGAGAAATGGAAATCCTCACATGTTTTCCTTACAGGGCCTTCTGTCTTTACTGCCTCAGGTCAGTGTTGTATTTGAAGAGAAATCAAAGTACTTAATCACTTCTTAGAACATGATTTTACATATTTTCTATTTTTGTTTGCCTTTCATTTTTTTTAGAGACTCCATTTTAGCATGCCTTTCCAAAATTGCTTTAATTCTTGTTGAACTCCTCTGAACTTGTTCCAGTTTGTGTTTTTAAAATACAGTGCTGAATGTACTTTCCCTGGTTGAGATATAACCAGTTATGCTGAGATGATGGGAATGTCTCATACACTTTTTGGAGAAAATCTGCTTTGAAGGAACTTGGTGTAGAGCCTGTAAGACCTGTTGATGTGATACAGAATGTATCAGAGATAGAATAGATAAAATACCTGTTTGCCTTTCTGAAGGCTCACTTTCTCCAGCGGGCTGCTCTGCCTGGTGCCTGAACACTGGGTTGTGCAGTGATTGTGTCAATCACCAGTCTGGTTTGGGTGGTTTTTTCCCAGAATGTGGCATGAATACAGCAACGTTCTCAGTTTGTGCTGTCTCCATCTGCAGTCCTGTGCTGTCCACACAATCTCCATCCATCATTTGTGGACACACGTGCTGCATTCTTGAGCTGTGTGTTAAAGCTCTGAATGTTGGTAGACTGCATGAATGTTTAACCAATTAACCTTAACACTGATTGGAAAAATATCCAGCTACCTTCTTTCTCTCTTGGAAAATGAACCAGCACAAAACCCAACCTACACAAAGCCAACAAACACCTCGCAGTCCCTAGAAAGATACTTAGTTCCTATACCACATGAGACTATTGAAATACTTCAATTTAGACAAATATTTCTAGTTACACTGTGATAGTGATGATTTATCACTGAATCACAGAGTGGTTTGGGTTGGAAGGGACCTTAAAGATCACCCAGTCCCGGGGCAGGGACACCTTCCACTATCCCAGGCTGCTTCAAGCTCCATCCAACCTGGCCTTGGACACTTCCAGGGATGGGACAGCCACAGCTTCTCTGAGCACCCTGTGCCAGGGCCTCACCACCCTCACATTAAAGAATTTCTTCCTGACATCCAGTCTGAACCTACTCTCTTGTAAACAGTCCCTTTCCATCTTTTCTGCAGTAATGAAAGTTTATCCAGCCTATAGACTGTTTTAACTGAAGTCAGTTAGCTTTGTAAACATTTTAACAGACTATAAAGACCATATAGGTTTTTTGGATCATCCTTCATTTACCTATCAGAATTACAGATATATATATATTTTGGTAATACATAATACGTTTCTTTCAACAGCTTTGTATATCTTGAGTTAGTTTCATTAGCTGAGTAACTTAGCCTGCTTTTTTTAAAAAGGAACTGCAATTTAACTATAAATATATCCAAATGCCACAGAATTCAGGGCTGCAAGTCAAAAATGCTGATCAGTTTGTAAAATCTTAATCAGTCCCTCCACGAAACCTAGGGACGGACCTCTGTGGTAGCAGAAAAATTTCCAGAAATTCACCACAGTCTTTTTCCAAGCTGCAGTTTGTTCTGATGTTGCCAGACAGCTAAGAAGATATGGGAAAAGCAGGAAATCTTTTTGGATTTAATCACAGTGCTGATTTGGAAAAGCAACTTAACAATGGAAAATATTTTTTATGCTTTAAATCATAAACACAAAACTATACGAGGTCCATGGCAGGTCATGACTGCATTAAGATAGATTGTTTTCCTTATGAGTAAAGATAACCCTTCAATTTGGAATCTGGTGGTCAGAAATCCTATTTCCTAGACATATTTATGCATTTATTTGTTTATTTTTTTAATATATTAATATCCAGACTAGATTATTTGATGGTTGTAGTACCGTTTGTTGAGGTACGGGGGACCTGTTTGCTATTCCTAAAGTCTTTAGCTATAACTTTTTGGTAACATCTTCCTATTTTCCTCTGTGAGGAAGCTTTGCCTGAATTTTTGCTTTCAAAAGATGTTGGACCATGTTGATGGGCAGTGCTTATGTTTTCCCCTGAAGTTATTGAAGTTCTGTTGTGAAACACCCAATGTTTTGTATTTTACTCGATCAATAAAAAAACGCTTCTTAAGCAGTTCTTGGCCTTGCATCCTCTGTGTGAAAAAGTTCCTATTTAGGCCCCTTTTTCTGTTTTAGGACTTGAAAATGATGGAGACTTCAGGTGGGCTGTGGAGATGAGACTGGAGGGAAAGACTGAATGCTCATTTCTGAGCGAACAGGGGATGAGGTTATGAAAATGTTTTAAAATCAAGATTTCTTTTGTGTTCTAGTGCCTGCTGAAAGATGGATGATGATGACTTTGGAGGCTTTGAGGTATGCTGTTTGGATAACTTTGCTTTGAAATGTAACAATTTTCTACTATTTTATGGACATTTATAGTGTTTTGTAAAATATGTAACAGTTTCTTCTTGTTTCCAGGCAGCAGAGAGTTATGAGTTTGGAAATGGTGAAAAGCAGACCACATCTCCTGCTATTGCTTGGGCAGCATTTCCTACAGGTATTGACAGAATCACTGTGAAAAATCTTAATATTCTATTCCTGTCCTTATGTACTCACTGTAAAAATCAGGGCTTAGAAGGGTGTATACAATAAAATAATGTACAAGAAAAGAATAGCCAACAGTCAAAACCAGAGCATAAGAATGTTCCTGAGCAATTATTTTGGGAAGCTGCACTTCTCAAAGTTAAACTTTATCGAGGAATGAAAGAGAAATTCAGTTTATACAGTAGAAAAGGAATGGAACTTCTTAATTCAAAGGATATTCTTTTCTACAGAGTGTGGAAGACAGACTATTGCAAATTGTGGGAAAACAGAAAAAGTTAAAAATAGGATTGTGATGAAGTCTTTTACTTGCTTTGGGGAAGAGGGGAGGGATGAGAGTGATTGTTTACTTAAGCCATTTATATAGTTGAAAAATATATTATATATTCTTTATCTTAAGCAGAAGCAGAAACATTAGGGAACTGTTTTATTAATTTTTACCCTGCCTGGTGCCTGTCTGGATTTTAGGAAATTGATAAAAGTTGATTGATAAATGTATATTATCAATAGAACTGAAATATTATGGAGGTGTTACCGATTTTGTTGTGGTCTAGATTTCATCTTTTCACAAAACAAAACAGCACTATTGCTGCACTAGGGAAGAAGGACCAACAACCCACATTGTATTGTTGTGAAGAATAAATTATGCAAAATAAGGCAGGGATTTTTCTTAACATGAGCTCTCTATAAATCATATTCTTAAAATGTCTTTATTAATTTATTTCTGGCTTTCATGTTACAGAATAATTAGTTTTGCCGTTGAAACAGAGGAAAACAAATACTAAAGAAACAATATTTTTCCAAATAACTTTATTATTCATCTTGTCATTTTGACTGATATTTAAAATTACTGTCGAAATTCAGTAGCATGTTTTATTGTGTTTAATAAATTTAATCCAATATAGCTGTGCAGTGTCTGTCAGTGAACTCCATTAAAATCCTGTAAGGTGTGTAGAATTGAAATTATTTGTACATAACACAGAAGCTTTTTGTATGATTTTAAGTGACACAGGAGTCCTAGGATAAGTTTTATCAAGGTATTTTAAGCATTTCAAAATTAAAAGAAAACTCCTGTAGTCTGGATATTTCGTTGTTGTAAAATCCTTACGTGACTTTTTCATGCAAATATTGCTGTGAATAAATTAGTTCATTGCAATAGGCAAGGTTTTAGTAGTATTGGCCAAGTGTGTCTTGGGCATTGACTTGTAGATGAATGTATTTAGTAACAGAAATAACTGAATTGTCTGCCCAATGTTATCTATTTATAAAGATGTTCCTGTCTTACCCTAGAAATTTCTTAGTAAGGCCTTGCTGAAAAATTCAAATGTATTGTGGTGCTATTGAGGTGATTTTTGATAAATTTGGAGGGTGAGAACATTGTATACACCCAAGATTTGATGAACTTTCCAGAGGAGGAGTTACTCATCTTGTGAATTTCCTACATGTCTGCTGTTTGGAAGTTATAAAACAAAACACTGAAGCCTGTGGCTGTATTTTTCAGTGCGCAGGCAGAATTCAGAAATTATTTCTAAGGCCTCAATGGTGACTTCATTACAGTTTTGCCCTTGAAATTGGTCTTGAGCTTCTTACTATTTTTTTTTTGATAGTATGGACCACGTGGCCGTAGATTTAAAATGTTAGGGTAGTAGATGCAATTCCTTAACTTCTAGAATAGTTTGGCTTTGGAGGAATAAAATGTGGGGAAGAGCTTTGTGCTGTGAGCTACCAGAAATCATCTTGAGGGTGCATCAGAGTGATTTTTTCCCACTGTGGTCACAAAACCAGTTTTAAGCTCAAACTTTGTACCTGAATGTTACTTTTAATGAAAATGTTCAGGGATAGAGTTTTCAGTGTATGCAGTATAATGAAAGTGTCCTTGAATTGTATTATCAAGAAAGGGGAGTTGAGGAAGGAAATTTAATTTTGTTTCTGTTTTTTTTTTTTTTTTTTTTTTTTTTTTTAACAGCTGAAACCTACATGTAGGGGGATTATGCTACAAGTAGTTTGCAACATTCTACAAAAATATGTCAAATAATTAATATATGGTCTTTTGCTCAGAGCCCTGCTGTCATATGACTTCTTAATGGCTAGATATAAGTAACATCTAATTAGTAAATATTACCCATGTGGTATATTTGATATTTGATGTCTTCATTCTGAAACTCAGTACGAAGAATAAGACTCAATTGGAATGTTGATTTAACAGTTCATGTTCATCCATTTGGTTTTGTTTTCAGAATTTCTGATCCCCCAGGGAATTTTAATAATTGTTTAAGCTTCATTACCAGTAAAGACACATAATTTTCCTTGCATTAGCAAGATTGGAGGCTGTCCCTGATCTCTGCTGCTATTAACAAACTGCATGGTTCTGGCAGTTCTTACATACAAACTTATGACAGAATATTCTTAATATTGGGAAGCCTGGTCTTCAGAAATTATTAGATACTTTTAAAGTACAATTCTAGCAATAACTTATATCTGCATCTTATTTCAGCCTTTTCAGATGTGTGACTTTTGATATACCTATAATTGAGTGAATGTTTCTTTTCTCTATAGTGCTGGAGCTTTGATTATTGAACAATAAGTTTATTTGAAAATCCATCAGACTTAGACTGTTGAAGTCAGGTCAGGTAGTTCCAACAGGGCAAGTTTTTGTTTCAGGGGTTGTAAAACTGTTTCATTGTGGTAACTAAGGCATGGTAAACAGGAATGATTTAGGGGTTCTCTTTATAAGCGGATTTTGAGCTGAATTAAATGCAATTTCACCAGTATATACACAAGAGGAATGAATTAAAAGAGCTTGAATTACAGACATAGCACATGTAGTTCTAGGAATGTCTAATTTATGAATCTCTAGCATTGCTGAAAAGTGGAAAGAAGGTTTTGTAAAAAATGATGTTTGAATGATACCTTGGAAAGTTGCCGCCTTTTCTTGTCTTCTGCAAGGTCATGTGTTTAGTTGAAAATTTGAAACCAAAATGTTCAGAAGTGCTCACCAGTGGTTGCTCCTCATTTCCTAGGTTTCATTTTGATGTGGGGATTTTGTTTCTGGTTTGGTTTTTTCCTCCCCTTCAAGATGCAAAGCATTCATTACTATAAGTAGAACCACTGAAAGCTTCACTTGATTGTAGAAGATTCCACATAAATCTCTAGTACCTGAAAAATGGAGTTTTATCTCTAGGATTGGACACCCCAAAATGTGTGAATACCTAAAGCTCTAATCTCAGCAAGTCTACATTCCTCATATGTGCCCAGTCTCCGCTGTTTTTATTTTTGATAAATTATTTATATGTGACTATGCCTGTGTTATGGTAATCCTCACCAAAGGTTGAACACTCTCATCACAAGGATTATGATCAGTTTTTCCATGTGAGCTGACAGTTTTAGTAAGAGAACCACTTGCCTGCTTGGTCAGAATTACCTGGTACATTATTTTAGCTGTTTTTCCATCAGATGGAAATTGATTTCAAACTGAGACTGAGGCCATTAAGTGATAGCATAAAGCTGAGACTTTCAGGTTTGTTTAGATAGAAAAAGATAATCTTCTATGTTGTTTCACTGCCACTTGAACTAACAGAGTAGGTAATTGTTACAGGAAGCTGCCTTTGAAAGAAGGCGTTTGGAGTGGGAGGGGAGTTTTATCTTAAGGTACTTAAAAGAAAGCAAAAAAAAGTCCTGTTTCCAGTCCTGGAGAAGAGTTAACTGTTAAAATGCAGTTACCTAAACTGGTTCCTGTTCTGTTTGCTGAAATACTCTCCTCTAGGCTTTTTAGCCAAGTTTTCATCTTGTGCTGAGCTCTGATTTTTTCTTTTTGCTATTTTTCTGGCCACATCCAGATGTACTATCATTGAAGTTACCCTACTGATACTTTTCTGCCTCATGGTCTATTTTCTTTCTTCCTTTCATCCAATGTGGTTTGCATGTTCCTCTGTGTTATACCTGAATCCTAGAACTGGCAGCTGAGGAAGACGGGACAGGGAGTGCCTGGATTCAAGGATTAGTGTGTCCTTTTGAATGCCTCAAGGCCACTTATACACTTGTTTGTGCTGTATGGAACAGAGGCTGAGCCTTGCTCCAGGCTAGTGGCATCCTTTACATGTTGCCAGAGTTGTAATAATAATGGGAGCTGCTTTTTCTGAAACAATTGGATGTGCTTTTTTGCCTATTGCAAAGACACACCTGGAGCTGACTGTGCCAAAGTTTTCAGGACTTTGCTGTTAAATTTAAAAAGTGTGCAAAACTTTCTCTTTTTCTTTCTTTTTATTTGGTTTGTTTAGTTTATGTATTTTTAAAACCAAGATTTTCTCTTGTGCTGGGTTGGTAATGCTGATCCACTATTGAAGGTTTTTATGGCATAACTGTAATTTGGTATAGAAAAGCTCAGTCCAGAGTTGATTCCACTTCAAGTTTGTTAGCTAGAGTTATTTACTTTGTTCTCTTTTTATCTCTTAAAAATATAAAGCTGTTTTATTGTGTGTCTTGGCAAGCTGTTTGTATGTGGCTTCTAAGACTGTTGTGGATTTTTAAACTTAAAAATGTATAAAAGTTAGGAAATTATAAGTATAGTTTTCCTGTTGACTGAAACTGGTTAAAGATCATGCTGAAGGTGTAAGGCTGTGTGAATCAAAAGAGACAGAGTTAAAACTGATCTTTTTGAGAGCTGTTGTCTTGTAAAACCTCTGTGTAAATGAGAAGTCTAAATTTATTGTGACTATGATTTTGATTGTTCTTAAGTGGATACTACTGAAAAACAGGCACTTTGAGTGGAATTACTTTTCAGTGCAATTCAATTCAAAGAGGGACATAAGCTTACACTGGTATGACTAGACTTGTGATGGGTTTTTCTAGGCATGGACTCCAGAAACAAACTAATTTTTGGGCGTTTCTTCATATTGAGTGTGTTTTCTGTTTCCAGTACCTGAAGTCCATAGATCTGATGTTCTCCTGGAGCACTCTGTGCCTTCTTCCTGCCTGCTTCCTTCCGACTCTTTCGGTTTATCAAGTGGTAATGTGGCAACAGTTATTCAAACAGGCAAGAGTGTGATAAATCCAGCTGTTCCTGAAGAACAGGTAAATTTTTGATCTTCAGTGTGAGAACTCAATGGATTAAGTGTCAGTGTTGCATCTTTTCTGTGCACATTTAGGTTGAAATGCTTTTTAAGGGCAAAAGGTCCTTGGATTTCTGTGATGCAGACTTTGAAGTAAAATGATTTTTAGATTGTTTATGAAGCCTATAACTGGTAGAAACCATACTACTTTGATCTGAACTGCAAAAGAGGTAACTGTATTGGAGTTATTAAAAGTTGGAGGCATTCTGATGATGCTGGGCATGCATGAAGGAAATATCAGCAGGAAGGTTCTCTCAAAAAAACTGGCTGCTGTTAAAGCTTGTCATACTTCTATGTTTTCTCAAGTGGTTTGAGGACTAGATTTTTAGGAATTTCAAGGATGGGGCTCTGAGCAACCTGGTCTAGTGAAAGGCATCCCATCCCTGCCCATGCCAGGGCATTGGACCAAGATGATCTTCAAGCTCCCTTCCAATCCAAACCATTCTATGATTAAAGAATTAGTGTTTTATCTTTACCTAATTATGATTAAATTAGTTTTAGAGGGGGGTAAATTTTACTTTGCATTACTTTGTTTTTTCCCCATTACTTTTAAAGTTGATTGTTTTGTTTGGTGGTTTACTTGTGGGTTCTTAATCTCTCAGGTGGCTGCAGTGCTGCTGAGAACTGAGCTTTGTTTCTTTCTGGGGTGTGAAAATGTTTAGTTTTTAACTAAACAACTATGTGAGCAAGGAAGGAAAAAACCTTTTTGCCTGGAGATTATCATAAGAATTCTATCAGAATCACAAGAGCTGCTGTAGATGAGACTTAAACAGATTTTCCATTCTGAGTATTTTACTGCCATTAATTGCAGTGACCCCCATTTAAACATCTCAATTCATTGTAAACTTCCTTGTTTCAAGATGTGGGGTAGTACATACTTCAATTAGAAAAGGCTCTTGCCTCACTGTGAAACAATCAGTGTTTTGGGCTATTTGTCAACCCTCCTGTTGTCAGCACTTCCTTGATTTTTTTCTTCTTCAGGTAGACTTATCAAGTCTTAAGGCTGCTTCTGGTGAAAGCTGAATTTCATTATTAAGTCAGATTTTCATTTTATGATCATTTAAATGCATTTCTTTAGAGCTATTGAAACCAAATTCACAAAATACAGGTTTTGGTTTAACTGAGCCTTATCTTTTTCCTTTGAGGGGCTCTGTATATTCACACTTCCAAAAAGACTGTGGCACAAATTGTGAATTAATTAATTAATAAGTTCCCATTTTGTGTTTGTACCCACGCTAATGTTCTGTGGGAAGCCTATAAAAAGTGAAGAAGAGATGTGCCCAGATGCAAATGATACCAAAGAAATTTATAAATCCAAAAGTTATGGGTTCGTTTTTTTCTTGAGAGAAAGGAGTGTTTGTTTTCTTTTTTGACTGATGCCAGGGACGGTAATTTTCTGTGTTGAAGGCTCTTCATCTGGCTCTTTGACAAAGTTTTGATAAGGAAATTTCTTTTACTGGAAGCATGATCAAAAAGTGATTTGCTTCAGCCACCACAGATCCTGCCTTTTTAAATTTTGGCTAACAACGAATAACCTTCAACCTTTCTTATTTGAGCTAGGCCAGCAAATTTAGCTTTTGTGTTCTCTGGAAAGAGCACTTGGGTTATTCCAGAACACTAAGGCTTAAGGGTATTTTTTTAAACTATAAAGTCATTTAGTTAGGTAATCTTACAGAAAAATAAAAAATACACTTTGTTACTTCAGACCGTGTGTGTGCAAATTCTAGTTATAGTCTATGTTTCAGTTTTTCTCATCTTGTTCTGTTCAGCTACTGAGAGACCCATCATTCTATAAATTCTCTGTAATGCAGGAAATAGTACAAATTAAAAAACTTTATTAGAAAGTCCTGCTGAAGGGAGTTGAGAGCAGGTCCTTTAACATTATTTTGAAATGGAGATGACTTTGCACTATGGAGTAAACCAAAGGAAAATGGTGGGCAGAAAACGAAAATAAAATACTCTTATACCTATTAGAGGGTATATTATATATATTAGAAGGTAGTAGAACTGTATTCTTTTATAATTCTATCTCCAGAGCATCTTGAGGTTTCAGGGAAAAAATCCTTCCCTGTTACAAGTTCCATACTTACAGTTTTTGGTGGTGCCAGACTCTAATCTTGAGTAGTACTCAGAAATGGAATTGGCACATGTGGCTTCTCTTTGCTTCTGACAGGAGAATTCAGAGCACAAACTGCGGTTTTCTCTCTGTTTTGTCTGCTGTACCTTATATATTCATGTACAGTCAAGATCTCAGCTGGTTTTGTTTGTTACTTTATTTGAATAATTTGAGAGATATTTATGGGAAAGTCAATGCATTATCTAAATGTATGTTTGGAATAAAAGGTGCTAGGGGCTGGATGAGGTCAGATCAGTCAAACCCCTCTTTAATAAAGTCACTGAGATGTTCCTTTCACCACCCAAGTCTCAAGCATGCTTGGCTTTCTGATTGTTGGAAAAGTGGCAGCTGAATTAATGTACCAGTTTTTCCCTTGGAGTTCTTTTGTGGTGAAAAGAACAAGTTTTTGCCCCTTCCTTAATTTTTTTAAAGGGGAAAAATAAAGCTTTGATTTTTTTTTAAATCTATATCTAAACATCTTACACAACTTTATTTCTGAAAGTGTGGGCTTACCATCAGTGTTTCACCTGTTTTCTGTACTTCCACAGTCAGCTGAAATAGCAGTCACTAAATGTTTAGAGATGCTGGATTACTTTTATTCTGTTAGTCTAGCCTAAGGATGAGATATTTATTTTAGCACAAACCCTTTGTATTCCCTCTCTGTGACCACTGATTGCAGTGTGCACTCGGTGAAAACATGGAATGACTAATCCAAGGAGAGTTTGTTTCCCTGAGGCATTGAGAGAGATGATTCAGTTCCACTTTTCTCCGATAAACTAGGCTCAAGCAGATATTCCAGTTGCCTCTTCAAATGTAACTGAAGACAAGACTTCAGCTGATGTTGAGACAAAGAGAAGAAATGAACCCAAGAGCTGCCTTCAACAAGCTGTGGCAAACCTCGAAATCAAGCTCTGCAGTGCTGAAGAAGAAAAACTAAAAATCAAAAAGGTATGAATATTCATTTTGAAGGAAAATATTTAGCATTTATATAGGAATTAAATATAGGTGGAGCTGGCAGAGGTTTAAAACTAATTTGAAATTATTTTTTTATATAGAAATTAGCCAAATTCCAGAGCAACTGGCCCAATTTAGAATCACAGACTTCCAAGACTATCAAGTTCAACCTATGCCAGATCCCCACCTTGTCACCATCACAGAGCACTGAGTGCCACATCCAGGCATTCCCAGGACACTTCCAGGGATGGGGACTCCATCACCTCCCTGGGCACCCCCTGCCAGTGCCTGACTTCCTTTTCCATGGAGAAATTCCTCTTGATGTCCAACCTGAACCTCCCTTGGCACAGCTTAAGGCCATTTCCTCTTGTCCTGTCCCTTTGTCTGGGGAGCAGAGCCTGATCCCCACCTGGCTACAAGAGATAAGGTCACCTTGAGTCTGTTTTTTCCAGGCTGAGCCCCCATTGCTCCCTCAGCCTCTTCTCATCAGATTTGTGCTCCAAACCAATCAAGCTCTGCAGTGCTGAAGAAGAAAAACTAAAAATCAAAAAGGTATGAATAGTCATTTTGAAGGAAAACATTTGGCATTTATGTAGGAATTAAATATAGATGGAGCTGGCAGAGGTTTAAAACTAATTTGAATTTTTTTTTCATAGAAATTAGCCAAATTCCAGACAAACTGGCCCAATTTAGAATCAGAGACTTCCAAGACTTCCAAGACTATCAAGTTCAACCTATGCCAGATCCCCACCTTGTCACCATCACAGAGCACTGAGTGCCACATCCAGGCATTCCCAGGACACTTCCAGGGATGGGGACTCCATCACCTCCCTGGGCACCCCCTGCCAGTGCCTGACTTCCTTTTCCATGGAGAAATTCCTCTTGATGTCCAACCTGAACCTCCCTTGGCACAGCTTAAGGCCATTTCCTCTTGTCCTGTCCCTTTGTCTGGGGAGCAGAGCCTGATCCCCACTTGGCTACAAGAGATAAGGTCACCTTGAGTCTGTTTTTTCCAGGCTGAGCCCCCATTGCTCCCTCAGCCTCTTCTCATCAGATTTGTGCTCCAAACCCTTGCCCATCTCCATTGTCCTTTTCTGGATGCTCTCTAGAAACTGGCCAGAACTGGGCACACCACTCAGTTTAGCTGAAATACTATTTTTTTAGGTCTGGTGTCTATTTTGGGCTGAATTTTTGTAAACTGTCAGGGAAAAAAAAGCTTTTTTTAGCCTAACCGATAAAAAAAGGGGACAAAAAAAAAAAAAGAAAATACAAACTTTCTCAGCATGAGTTTTGTTTTGATTTTTTTGGGGGTGGGAGTTTTAGTAGCAAAATTCTTCATATTCCTTCTGATCTGAATACAATATGAGCACCAAGCATGGCTGTGCCTGCAGTTACACATCTGAGTTAGCAAAAGGTCACTGAGGCATGGGAGAGTGAGTTTCACTTCTGTTATTCTTAATACTGTTTCTTAAGAGGCCTCAAGTTGTGCTGGGGAAGGAGAAAGCTGCTTTTTGGAAATGAAAATGTGGGTGAATAACTGGAGCCAAGGATGAGGAGGTCTGCAATGGGTGGTTTTGCTAAGTGTGTGAAGGAAAGGTTGAAGGGTAGCAGGAATACAGGCTGGAAGAGGAGACAGGTTGAGAGGGAGGCTTTGATTGGTGTTCCACAGTCTGTTTCTATCTCACCAGTGAAGTCTCTCCTACTGTTTTGACTACTTTGTCCAAAAGCAGGGTTGAACTAAGAAGATCTGCTCTTTCTGTCCTCGTCATGACCCTCTGGGTCGTGCCTTTGTTTGAATAGCTGTGCAGTGACCTGGCAGGTCCTTTGTTTCTATACTGGCTTCCTGCATGGCTTGGAGAAACAGTTGCTCTTGAGCAACTCAAAGAGTGCCAGCAGCTTATGTGCAATAGCAATGGCTGCATTAAGGAAAAATAAAAATCTTTAGCTCTTTGTATAGCAAATAATTTTGAAGTTTATTGTCAGTGGTGGTATTCTCCTTCCTCTCTATAGGTTCATGTTGGGCAGGCTTCCAGAGTGGCTCTCTGCAAGATCCCAGAATATTTCAAGATTTTATTCATTTTGGAGATGTAGATAGAGATCATTGTGTGCGTGCATAAATGCCATAGGATTCCTGCCTTTTCAGTGAAAACATTTGCTGACAGTACATTTAATATGCTGCTTTTCAAGTTCAGAAAGGCAGAGCAAGATACTAAAAATACGAAAATAATTGGAACAGAATAGAATAGTTCCAGTTGGAAGGGACCTGTAACAACAGGTCCAGCTGCCTGAACCCTTCAGGATTCAGAAGAAGTTAGAGGATGTTATTAAGGGCACCTTGGCCACTTCACATAGGTCATTCCTTATACATGGGAATGCCTTGGGTTTTAAGTACCGCACACTTGAAAATCCTGTGCCTATTTAAAGACTGCACGACCCTTTATCTCTGTGATAATTAATGGAGCAAACATCACAGTTATCAGAAATTAAATTAGTTTGAATGGTTTAATGAATCTGTATTTTCATAGTTCGCAAGTGTTTGTAATTTCATGTGTTTTATTTTACAACCTTTATAGGAATTGGAATATTTGCTGGAAAAACATAGTGTGCTAGAAATGGATTTCTTGAAGGAAAAAAAAGAAAAAGTGCTTCCACATCAAGATCATTACAAGACGGGGCACCTTGGCCACTTCACATAGATCATTCCTTATACATGGGACATGCCTTGGGTTTTAAATACCGCACACTTGAAAATCCTGTGCCTATTTAAAGACTGCACGACCCTTTATCTCTGTGATAATTAATGGAGCAAACATCACAGTTATCAGAAATTAAATTAGTTTGAATGGTTTAATGAATCTGTATTTTCATAGTTCGCAAGTGTTTGTAATTTCATGTGTTTTATTTTACAACCTTTATAGGAATTGGAATATTTGCTGGAAAAACATAGTGTGCTAGAAATGGATTTCTTGAAGGAAAAAAAAGAAAAAGTGCTTCCACATCAAGATCATTACAAGACACTCCAGGTAATTTTTCTCTTGTAGTATCTTTGTTTTTCAGGAGGATTTTTTTATAGAGTATATTTATGTCCAACAAATATTCTGTCGGCATCTGTGGGCCTGCTCCAAAGCATTTTGAATTTAAAGAATTTCTAAGGTTTTAGATCAAAGCATGATTTTTTACATTAGCAGGAATATAAGTTTAATATCCCACTTGCCTAATTACATTTTTGTAATTCAGAACACTCTTCCTTGTTAGGAGCTATTTCATAAAACAGATGAAAAGGAAACCACTTTGCTCAGTAGTTGTGTTTAACAGCTTGACTTAGCATGTTCTAGAGTGCCATGGCCAACTGTTAATGCTGTTTTACCTAACTTCAATATGGAATAATTCATGCTGTTTAATAAAAATCTGTTAAGTGTAATTAGATGATAGACAGTGGAGTTAGATTTGTTCCCATTGTAAAAGTTAACATCTTCCATTAAATACATATGCAAAGTTTCACATTCCAGACAAAATTTTCATTGAAGTTTTTGGTCATCTTCCAGTGTTAGAGCAAAGCAAATTATGTTTCAGCATTGCAGAAGCTTGTGTCTGTAACTCAGCTTCACTTAATTTTTTTGCTGCTGTGGATGGTCTTTAATAGCTATTGCATTGTTTCCCATTATTATTCAAAGGGTTGCTGTAGCAATTTGTTTGGAATTCCTGATAGCAGTACATTCTGGAAATTACAGTAATATAATAATCTAATACTGGGGTTTTTTTTCCTTTTTTGTGTGTAATGCTTTACTCAATGAAAGAAATGTTTGCTTAACCATGATATAAAAGAAAGTTCTACTTAAAACCCTCAAGATTTATGGAGTACCACAAAAGTTATTGCTTATCCTAAACAATAGAATGGGTGGATTTCATGTTGTTAATACTTACTTCTGCTTGAAGATCACTGTGAATTTGAATAGTGGAAATGCTACTGAGGTTTGCAGCTATCAGCCTATATCATAACTCTTGAGTTAGTACTGCAGTTTTCAAAAATGCCAATAAACGGGTCATAACCTTTAACTTTGTAGAAATGCTCTTGTACTTCCTCTCGATGTCTTCTGGGTACAGCCAGAATCAAACCAGAGGAGGAAAGTGAGTCATGCTTCTAAGAGCTGCCTGTTAAAGTTACTTTCATGAGACTTGAAGTGTGAATGCCTTCTGTTACTACAACTTTTAGTTTCTTTTGTCTTCCTCCTCTGGCTCCTGCAGCACGGGGGTCACCACCTGTGGCCACACACAAGCAGAGCTGGCAGCTCCTGAGGACAGATGTCTGTCCCTGGCTCTGCCTTTTCCACTGGTTGTCAGTGCTGGTTATCAGTGCTGGTGACCTGAAAAGCTTTACAGCCGACTGCAGTGGTGCCTGTGGCTTTGGGAACCCTCAGGATGACATTTCCAATGGAGCCGATGCCAGCATCCAAAGCTGTAGGTGTGCATTGACTTAATTCCTTTTAAATGAAATTGCTCTGTTAATGTTTGAGTAAAAAGTACAAAACCAATGCCTCAGGAGACTTTTCTAACTACCTTTTAGATGAACATGCGCTGTTTCATGCACCTTTATGTTTACAAAATAACTGGCTTCTGGCACTTGTGGCAGGGAATTCTCAAAAGCTGCTCTAGATATAACAAAGCCAGTTAATCTGTTAAAGCCTTGTTTTAACAAGGTGGTATTTAGATAAGACCCTTTTTTTTGAAGAAGAAGTTACTGCGTTAGTTCTGAGAGATTTCAGTGATCTTTGTCCACTAAGTCACTAATCTGATTTTTTTTACATCTTTTCCTATTGGTCTCTGCCTCATAATGTCAAGGGTGACAGTTATGTTACCACAGTTTTGTTCTCACAGTTTTGTTCTCACAAAATTGCATCAATTAAATATGTTTTAGGTTTTTTTAAAGGCAAGGCAAGAACATAAAAATATTTTCTCTAAGCTGGGTTACCATTCTAATGAAGCAAGTTTTGTTCTAAGTTTCTGTGCTTAGTTCTGAGAGAAGATTTGAGTGATCTTTGTCAACTAAGTCACTAATTAATTTTTTTTGCATCTTTTCCTATTGGTTTCTGCCTCAGTCAAGGGTGACAGTTATGTTGCCACAGTTTTGTTCTCACAGTTTTGTTCTCACAAAATTGCATCAATTAAATATGTTTTAGGTTTTTTGATATAGAAAAAAATAACTTTTAAAGGCAAGGCAGGAACATAAAAATATTTTCTCTAAGCTGGGTTACCATTCTAATGAAGCAAGTTTTGTTCTGGCTTAGTCAAAAACTTTCTTCATCATAGGTATGCAAAAAAGCCCCAAACTGAATTTGGTAGTTCTGAAAAATTGAAGAATTGAAGGCTAGTAATAATCCCTATTCCTAAGCATGGGAGGCAGAATTCCAAATCTTTGGTATAGTTTGCAGTTTCCAAATCTTTGGTATAGTGTTAGCATTTAACCAATGGATGACAATAGAGTTATCATACCACATTTTTCATTGTGTAAAACCAAAAAGTAAAAAGTTCTGTGTTTCATCTAAATAAAATTAGCTTTTTTTAAAAAATCAGGATTGAAGAGACCATGTAGTATTTTCACATTCTTAACATTATTTCCATATGTAACTCAACAGCCAGAGACAGTAAAGGGGCAGCAGTGTATTCATAAACAGAATAAACAAATTGCTATTAACTGGTATTAGAGTTGTTTGGATATTTAATGCAATGGTCTCTTTGAGATCTTGAATTTGTATAAGCTAATAAAATTAGAGTTATGATTTCCACATTCCTGCTTCAGTGTTTGTGCTATTTAAGAGGCAGAATAACATGGTATATTTCTAACTTCTTTACTTGCAAATTGGAACTGAGTTAAAATTGCTGTGGGAAGTGTAATTTTAGGGGTTTTGACTTGTGTGCAGTGCTGCAACAATAAAGTTGCAATCTTCACCTTATAATTGCTTATTTTAGGCAACAGAGAAACAGGTGCAAATGTATGTCTGATTTTTATATTTTCTTGGTTGGTATGTCAGTTTTATATTTTTTTGATCAGAGTATATATTTTCATCTCAACTTTTAACTTCAGCTCTTCCTTAGGGATGAGTTGCTACATATGTTTAAGTCATTTGGGGCTAGTAAGTCATACAATGTTTTGAAGATAATGCAGATTTAGTGGTCACTTAATCCTAGAAATCTAAAATTTTGTTGTAGCCGCATTACAATAAGTTGTAGAAATAAGCAAAGGCTGCATTTTAAAACTACCAAACTCCAATTTGTAATGCAGTGAAAACCATCAGTAGCAAAATTAACATTCCTGTCCAGTAGGTGATGTGGTGATGTTCTCTTGTTCACAAATCACTGAGGGAACACTTGATTTGAGAAGGGAAAGTAGCGCCTGGTTTCCACTGCTCTGAACAGGAACTCAATTATTCAGACAGATTGTTTAGCTGATAAGGCTCCTGATGTTTGGTCTGCCTACAGACAACTGGTTTTGATGATTCACTGAGAACTGGATCATACTTTTCACTGCTATTTGTTTGATTTACCACACACTCACATTGAAGAAGTGCAGCATTGCCACTGGAAAATTCTAGTTGCGGTTATACACATTTTTTCCCATCATCATCCCTTTCTGGAAGTTAAGCAGGCTGTTTTTCTAAAGAACAATATAGTTGCTGTGGTGTAACCTTTCTTTTTGAAATAAACTTCTTTTTTATCTTTTGACAACAGACTTCTGTTTTTCCAGCTTATCAAACCTGTAGTTGTTATGAAAACACCAACAGGCTTGTTTCTTTTGGAAACTGTTGTTTCTGTTCCATCTTTAGGGAATATCTTAGAAAATTTTATTTAAAAAGGGACTTTAATATGCTTATTTTATATTGCAGTATTACTGTTACTGCAAAGAATTGTGATTGGAAATGAATTTGTTGCTAGTGTGACTTTACTTTACATGACATTTTTGTGTGTAAGAAAGCAGGTCAGATAGGCTCCTTGTTTGAGTGATTTTTCACAAGGGCAGGAGAGGAAGATTATCCTAAGGAAAACATTGGCAGAACAGTACAGAATGATCCAAAGGAAGTTCACTAGGTGATGCAGTAACACCTAGCTGGGATTAAAGGTAGCAATAACCTAAATTCAATCATTGCAGGTGTTAGGTGTTGTTTCATTTATGTACTGCTATGGCTGTTGATGTTTTGGGAGATTTTTCATTTGAGTACCTGTACAAATGTCACATTTAAATTATACAGCTTCAAATTATGAGGAAAAGTCTCTAAATGCAGTTATATAAAGATAGAAAATGGTAAACCTGAGATTTTGGGCCAGTTTGTTCCCTCTTAACTCTGAAGGATGACTTTATTTTGATTAACATCTCTTGTTGTTTTGGATGGTTTTATATATTAGACCCATATATCACACAAATTCACATGACCCAGGATGGATATTTGGTGGTGTCTGTCTCGTTGATTTTGAAGTTAGTGCTTCCACTTTCCTTTTATGTCAGAGTTTAGTGGTGTTCCACGCTTCCTGCTGCCTGTGCTTGACTTCCAGCTTGTCCCTATGGATCATTCTAGGGTTTGGAGGAGATAATCCTTGGAGGAGATAATCCCTGAGCAGGAACCAGCTCCTTTGGAGCTTTCTCTTTAGGGTGCTGTCCCTTGTCCCAGGCAGATCCCAAAGAGGCCAATGCCTTCTTCCCTCAAGTCCAGTGTTGTGATCCTTGGTTTTGTTCTTCTCCTGAACTCACCATCTCATGGTCACTGCAGTCAGGGCAGATCTTCACATCCTCAGAGAGTCCTCCCATGTTTTTAAGGCTCAAGTCTAGCAGAGTGCCTTGTGGATTGTTCCTCAGCTGCCTGTGTTCCAGGGCTTGTTATCCACGTGCCACAGGAGTCTCCTGGATCTCTATGCTGCCCCACTGGCAAATTCTGGGGCTGTAAAATTGCTGGTGTTAGAGTGGTGGGTGCTGCTGCCTATTTCTTGTCCCCAACAAACCTCTCCTGGTGAAAAGCAGGCTGAGTTAACATTC